ATCCCAGATCCCAGACCCCAGAACAAAACCGAACCGGACTTCATGGGCCACACACTTTGTAAGTGTTTTGCGGTCGTAAATAATCTCGAATAGTTTGCAGTCGTTGCTGAAGTTTTTTACATGGCATAAATCAAATTCTTGATTTATAATAATTGCAAAAAACACTCACTCAAGCCGGGGAAGCGACGGTAACTCGGAACTGTCCCACACATGTCAACCGAATCTGGTTTCCAGGAGGTGCCGAGGGGAGTACGGATGCCATATATTCGTAATTGTTGGCACACACGTCATAGCCCACGAGTCAAAAAAAAAATACTTTAACGTGGAAAAATATACAAAGAAACAAGTGAAATGTCACTGGGAAAACTGCATATGGTATTGCATAAGTTTCCGAATCTTTTTATTGCAAATAACTGATGTAGAAAATATAAGATGTGCAAGTTGTGTTGCATATACCAAATTTTACCGCATTTTATCTGAATACATTTACCTTATTTTATCATATACATTTGTCATATTTTAAGGATTATTTAAAGGCTACTTGCCTAGCAACAAAATCAAATGTCCATTAAGGAGCTATCCGGCTACAAACGCCCATATCGCCGCTGCTCTCTGATACCCTGTATAAACGGAAATCACACCGAAAAGCAGGCGCAGCAAATCGATTTATGCCCTCCAAAGGGGAAATTCGGTAAAGAGGGAAATGGGAAAAACTTAATCAATTCGCAACGCTTTTTCGTGGTCATAATGCGGCATTCATACACATCTTAGTGTGTATGTGTGTATATAGAACTCCCCTTTGGCTCAAGTGTGGGCGTGGCAGGTTGGTGGTTGGGGTGTGGTGAAGGGGGAAGGGGGAAGGGGGGCGCTACACGGTGCAGACATTTAAATGCATTTTAATAGATTTTCCACTTTTCCTTTATTTTGTTTTCTATGCGCACCAGGAAACGGAAAACAAAACACACACGCGTTTTAGTTTGCGTGTATGTGTGTGTGTGTGTGTGGGTGGGCGGAAATGGGGGCGGTGTGCAGTGTGGGGCAGTGGGCGTGGCCCATATATCGATAAACCGCAGCAAATCGAAAGAAACATTCTGTGACACAAACAAATAGGCGAAGCGCGAACAATAAAATCAAATTAAATGCAGCAGAAAAGGAGCAATTTACTCGAGTCCTTTTCTCTTGGAGTCCTTTATTTAATTTTTTTTTGTTTGCTTTTGTGAATTAAATGCGCCTGGTCATTGTGGAGCCATTAGCGGTCCTCGAGCGCCCCCGTACCGCTTTTCCTTTTCGTATTTTTTTTTTCTGTGCTGTCAGCATGAAAAGTGGAAAATTTATTGACTGCACATATGTCGCACTTTTTCCATTGGCTCCTGCCACACATCAGTTGTTGTTGTTCCTGTTGTTGTTGTTATTGCTGCTGTTGCTGTGTCCTTAATGTTTGCCCCCGCCTAATGCACACACATAAATATTTTAATTTGTATGCCGCAGATGCCGTTGGCCCGATTGAGTTGTCCTTCGATGGCCGGCGATGAGGTCCTTATCCCTTTTGGCCACTTTACTGGTCGAGTCGAATCGAATCGAATTGAATCGTATCGTATCGTATCCTACCGAATCCCCAATCCTTCACATGTCCTTAACGATTGTCACGGTCTGATGTGAGCGACAGTGATTGGGTCACGTGCCGCAATCGACAAAGGACTCCTTTGATGGCAGTTCATCGATTGGATTCCACGCTATTCATCAGGTTCTTGATGGGTAAGCATTTGATATTCAAATGTGGTGAACCTGGCCATATTACCTGTCTCAATTCGGAGTACCCGAATTCACTCGAATTGAAGTTAGCAGCATTTGTAAGAAATTTTAATTGACTTAAAGCATTTGAATTAAATGTAATGTTAAGATACCAACAATTTTCTGCTCGATGGGCACTAGTAATAGGTGCCACAAATGAAGACATTCGTATCTATATTTCAATGCCCAGCTGAAGGCAATCCATCGCTGAGCTGTTTATCTAGAGCCTTTTGGCAATCGGGATTGCGATCTTGTTGCGCGATTATCCTTTAAACACATGTCATCTTAGCCCCCAGCCCCTACAAACTTGTATTTGTACTCCTGCCGAGATCTGCACCCGCATCGAGCCAAAAAATACCAGGCCATATGCCGCAACAAAACGATCTTGGGCCAGAAGACAAAAGGCAATAGAAGCCACACACACACAGAGGCACACAGGACTCGGTGGTTTCGACCGCAGGACACAACCGAAATTTATAATCACCGATGACCATGTCAAACACGCCTACCGCCAACGCCCCTCCCCAAAAAGGAAAAAAACCCGAAAAAACAGAGAGAATATTAAGGGAAAAATGTGAAAAGTGAAAAGTAAAAACTAATAAATACCAAGTGCCGATGAAACATAAAACATTTTCTAGTTAAGTCATGTTCGATCATCTCGGACCACAGGACCCTTTTCTTCTTTTTTTTAGACACGCTTGCTTAGCGCAGGCAGCGAGATAATCTCAACTCAATTTGCTGTCCTCTCGAAGGACGAAAGCGAGTGAGGGGCGCAAGGAGCGCAAGGATCGCTTCTGCGATCCAGCGAGCGCCGAACATCAAAACATCGATTCTGTGGAAATGTCAAGCAAACCATGGAGAGTCAAGTGCTCAAAGCAGCCCGATATTATTTATAGGCCCGATTAAAATTAGAACGATATCTGGTTACCCCAAAAACTTGGACAGCGCCACTTGAGAATCTCAGATGCTTGAGATCCTTGAGATCCTTGAGGAGCGTGCCCAGAAGTCCCAGTTACTCGAGTCGAGTATGTGTGACAACACTTTCTTATATGTATATTCGTTTTTGTTTTTTTTTTTTTGAGTGCCCATAGGTGTGGTGTCAGCTAGCCACAAATTCTGGGAACTTCTCGGCTGCTGATCTAATTTTCGGTCGCTCGCCTAAGTGGTTAGTCATGTCGCAATATCGGGATATGACTTCATTTCGGGTTGTGATTGCATAATTTGTTTAATTTGTGTTTTCTAACAGCTTTTTGGGCAAACACTTTTCGTTTTAGCCCATTTTAGGCCCTTGAAGATCTATTGAATCTCGAACGATTGTTACGAAACTTTATAAATTGTTGTATTATGGCTAATCATATCATTGTGTATATATGCCTACTGGATTATCCATGGGAAAAGAGGAACTTTTTGATGTTCGTTTGATTTCGTTTTACTTGTATAGAACAATATTTTCATACATTAGAGCCGGAAAGAAAATCTACACAGCAAAATCATTTAAATTTCCAGCAATTCTGTAACCCATACTTAAAATTACACTTTCGCCCCGTGCAAGAGTTGGTCGAGAGCACTTTTCGAGCCATTAAACCGACCAAAACAGAAAAGACGTATACCTCATGTTCGGGTTAACTCCTCTACGCAATAAAATAAAAAATCCAAAGGGAGGAAAAAACAAGAAAAAAACGAAGAGACGCGAAGAAAAATTAACAAATCATAACATCATCATTTATCATCATTAAGCTGCGAGATTTTATATTTTGTATTTCTTGTTGTACTCTTTTTATTTTCTGGACTTTTCCCTTTTTGGTTTATGTTTTATTTTCCTCGGCTGACCGCAGACTTCAGTTATAAATCAATCAGATTTTGTTTGCCATTTAGTGGAGCGCCCCGAAAACAAAAACAAAAATCAAGGTGGTGGTTGAGGGTGGGGCAAAAAGGGTTTCTGGGTGCTTGAGGTTTGGCGTTCGGCGTTTGGGGTTTGGGGTCTTAACGCGGCCAACGCGGCGTATGATTAACGTGCGTGTGAAGTTGTCGGGCTGCCCCATCACACCCTCCTCCTCCTGCTCCTCCTGCTCCTCCTCCGCCCCCATCCCCATAGAAAAGTATCTTTCCCCATTTTTGGTTTTATACCTCTGCGACTCTACCAATCCGAAAGCGAGCGAGGTTGTCAACCGCTTCGTGCACTATTGCATCGGGCATCCAAAGATGGTGAAGAGTTGGGTTGAGTCGAAGAGTTGGAAGGGGAGGGGGCGTGGCACGTTTGGGGGCTTGGCGCTCACTCAACTTGAAAATTGATTGATGCCCGGGCTGGGCAGCATAAATCAATATTTTATATTGGCCACAATCGATCTGCATCGCTATCTGCATCGCTTGGCGGCGGATCGGATTGGATCGATCTCTTCTCTCTACGGCGATTCGATTGCCAATCTTCACGCCATCATTGTATTTTTATTATTTTTTTTCCCCTTTTTTTGTTTTTGTTTGCTGGGACAAAATGTTTCCCGTTTAATTATAAACTCTGTGTTGGGCAATTCATTTTGGGCTGTGGGATATTCGCTCGAGCTAAATTGACTCTCATTGGTTGCCTATAGATTGAATATGTGCCCCCTTCTGAGTTATGATCCCCACTTGATGGGGGGAAGCCGCGGGAAATGAGATTAAATTAATTTCGCAGCTGGGAAAAGGATCGGGGATCTCGAATCTAAGGAGATCTAAAAATGGTACAACGCTTTGGCTGAGAAAGACTCGAATTGGGCTCACTTATCCAGGCTTTTAGAACTGCAGTGCCTTTAAATCTCACCCGATTGTTATGAAATTCAATAATAACGCATACTTTGACTAAATAAATCATTGTAATAAAGGATATATGCGTAACTCATTCGTAGCTTAATTTATGCAATATTATAGGGAAAGCAATCTATAGAAGAGATAGATCTCCAAGGCTAACATATCTGGCAGTGCAGACAGCAATGAAGATTGCTATACAAAACGTTTCTATTATTATCGAAATACCGCCAGAGATCAGCACCCAAATGCAGATCAAGTTCGCCGGAAGTCGCGAAGCTTCCGGGATCCCTCGATTTATATGCAAGAAAGCAACCCCTAGAGGAGATCAAACAACCCTGAAATCTAACCGAACCAGGAACCCATAAGCAAGGGTGCGTCGCGATCAGAGGGAATAATAAAAACTGGATTCGCTTTGTTTTCCGATATAATTTTGTTCGCTTTTTTTTATTGTTAGGATTTCAGTGTGGGGATTTTGTCGCCTTGTTGGATTTTTTTGCATTTTGTTGTTGTATATAATTTATCTTAAAGACAATTAACAATTATTATGGTACACAACTAGATGGTTTCTCTCATTCTATATGGTATGGCTTAAAAAGAACGATATATATGTATATGTATGTACAGACATGCAAAAAAAAATGCCTTAACTAGATTGGGGAAAAAAAATGGAAAAAAAATTCAAGTTCTAGTCTCTACATGTATAGTTAATATATCTATATATGTATTTATATAATATTATTTAATGCCTTATGCAGTATTTTGTGAATTCATATAATATTTTTTTTTTTTCGATTTTCACAATATATTTTTATGTCAACAATAAACACTGAAAAAAAAACACACACTAGATTTTCGTTCTACGCTTGCTTTGTTGCCTTTCTGGGTTTTGGGACATTATGGCATTTGTTTCATCAACATTAAACTGTAACAATCTGGGAAGGATTTGGGGCATCCTAGGCGGTGGCATGCGGATGATAGGCCGCTGCCCACGCATTGTGATGGTGCGGATGCGGATGCGTGTGCGGATGCGGATAGCCGTAACTGGCTGTGCCCGCACCAAAATCAGCCGGATAACTGGCCGCATACTCGGACTTCATGTGGCAACTGGAGCTGGAGTCCTGGCTAGCTCCGCTGGCCAATCCGCTCATGGTTAGACCATACTCCGCCGCCAGCTGCGACTCACTTTGCATGGCCAGTGCGGCATAGTGATGCTGGGCCAGCGCCGTGGCGGATGCCGCTGGGGAAGATGCTGATCCGGTGGCGGAAAGGACCGCTGCCGCTGGGGAACTGGCACTGGAGGATGTGGATGAACTGGCTGAGGTAGTGGCTGGTTGTATGGCACGGCTGCTGCTGCTGCTGCTGTTCCACGGCTGATCCGACGTCGTCGTCGTCGTCATCTGCTGCTGGAAGAGTGGCGGCGGTGGCGGCAGGGGATTCACACTCGTGCCCGCGGATGTGGAATGCTGATAGAGATTCGCATAGGGCGCATAGTTGAGCAGCGGTGTTGCATCCGGCTGCTCCTGCTTGAATTCCACGGGCGGCGTTAGCGGTTTACCCAACTTTTTCTCCTTCTTCTCCAGCTTTATCGCCGTCGCCACTGACGCCGACGCGGACGCGGATGCGGACGCCGCCGCCTGCTCCTTGGCCTCGGCGGCCAGTGCCTTCTTGCTCTTCTTGTCCTTGAAATGGGTCTTCTTGTGCTTGCTGAGGTGATCGCTGCGCGAGAACTTCTTCGAGCAAATGGGGCAGGCATATGGGCGGTAATTGGTGTGCGTACGTCCGTGCCGCTGCAGCTCATCCGATCGGGAGAAACGCTTGCCGCACGTGAGGCAGAGGAAGGGCCGTTCGCCGGTGTGCCAGCGCAGATGGGTCTTCAGATGCGACGCCTTGCCGTATAGCCGTTCGCAGCCCGGAATGTGGCAGATGTGCTGCTTGCGTCCCCGCTCATCTGGCCCCACAATCGGTGGCAGGCCGCTCATCTCGTTCGTGCAGTTGGGGCACGTGCAGCGAACGGAGCGGCGTTGCAACTGCGTCTGGAAGGCGATGTCATCGAAATTGAAGCCCGGATAACTCTGCGAACTCCATGGCTGATAGAGGCGCTCCTGATGCGAGAACCAAGCGGCCGATGATGACATGCCCACCGCATTGCCATAGTAATCGGAGGCGTACTGGGCGTATGGGAATTGACTTCTAGATGGAGCAAAGAAATGGAGATAGTGAAATGGTTAATTCAGCGCTTGTATCATTTAATCGATTAGTAAACCTCCCATTTGAATGTAATTATAACCATTTAGCAAAGATTTTCATCTTACTGCAATTAGCAGTCGGATATGGCTTAATCACCATTTTATTCCTATCATTACGCGATCAAAACCCTGTATTTGCTCCAAGATCGATGTACGTTATAAGGTGGCAACAAAGCTAATCAATCTGAGTAATGAAATGAACCTATCATTTTATGGATTCATGATGCACTACTTGAGCTTATTTATATGATAATACATTTTCAATCTGCGGGCTAATGGGATTCAAATATTCCCATGCAGCAAACTGTGTAATTTGAGAAAGATGTTGTCCTTATTTAGCTTAGTAACCTGTAGTTATTCTATTAGGAGAATTCCCAAATATCCGTTTCAGATCGAAACACTTAAGTTTATATAGTACTATCTTCAAGTGTATAAAACTATCACCTAGCATTTCTTAGCTCTACAAACTTATGATGTGGATTATGTGGATATTTACCTTGGTGGCCCCAATCCGGAGTAGGCGGTATTCCAGCCGTAGGCGGCACTGGCGACCGCCGCTGCTCCAAGGTCCGCTGCTGCAGCCGCCGCCGCTGCTGCCGCCGCTGCAGCAGAAGCCGCTGACGAGGATGGCGACGAGGATGTGGGTGATCCCGCCAGGGCTCCCGCTCCCGCTCCCGCCGCTGTCGGTGGCGCCAAGGTCGTGGTGGGCGTGGATGGACTGGCCGAAATGGAGGCGAATGACTGGGCGGGCGATGGGAAGATGCTGGGCGATACGGAGGCCGATGATGGCGCCGATTGGATGCTGGAGTTGGGCGATGCGGTGCCCGTGGATGAGGCCTGCGGATACGGCAGTTCCAGCTTCATTGGCGGCTTTCCGTATAGTGGAGAACTGCCGGAGCTGGAGCCGGAACTCGAGCCGGAGAGGGATGGGGGGGCGGACAGCAGGGCGGCGGCGCTGAGGAAGTCATGTTGCTGCTGTTGCGTCTGTTGCGGCTGTTGCTGCTGTTGCTGTTGCTGCTGTTGCTGTTGCTGCTGCTGCTGTTGTAGCTGGGTCATGTGTTGCATGTGCTGCTGTGGCGCCTGCTGATGCGACAAGTGCAGATGATGTTGCGCCTGCTGCATGTGCAGATGATGTTGCGCCTGCTGCTGCTGCGCGTGTTGCTGCTGCTGCTGTTGCTGCTGTTGCTGTAGCTGCTGCTGCTGCTGCTGCGCCTGATGCTGTTGATGCGCATAGGGATTCAAGTAATTGCAGGCCGCATCGATCATGTTGAAAACGTTAGTGATTTGTATGTTGCGCTGATTTATTTGGATCCTACTGCTGATCTTGCTGCTGCGTTTTCTCGCTTCTGATTGCTACTGCGTTCGTTAGCAATTTTCGCACATTGCTCTTGCACTTATTGATATTCGCTTGTGTAATTATGGCACGCTTTTCACTTTAGTTTTATAATTATAGTCTTTTGCTGCCGCGCACGTAATTGCGAGCACGCGGACGAGAACACGGAAAAAACACAAACAAATTAAAGGCTGCCGAAAATTCGCCAATGCTGCGTGCACATATATATATTTAACCCTCTATATATACAAATATATGTCTATATATGTGTATATAGATCCCAAAACGAGCGAGTTTCTCTGCTGCCACTGCGGCTGGCTCTTCTGCTTCTTCTTCTGCTTTCGTTCGTAGTGCTGCTGCTGCTGCTGCTGCGCGTGATGTGATGTGATACAACCACCGGTAATTATCGTCGATTGTCGACTGAATTCCAAAACGCGGCGAGAGAGTCTAACAACGTACAAAACGAATCGCTTGGCTGCGGGCAGCGGCGCGGGCAGAGGGCAGTGGCAGCGCTGCTGCTGCTCGTGCTATCACGTTCTCGCACTTGCCTGTCGCCACTGAGCGCCCACAGCCAGCTCTCGCTCTCTCTCGCTCTCGGCACCATCATGGTGGTTGTTTTGCTTTTGCCCGCAACGGTGTGCCTTCGGGGCAACTCGCTTCGTCTCGCTTGCACGTGTGGCGCGGATGTGTCACTCCCGGCACCAGCAGCCACTCTCTGTTGCTCGCTCTCTCTCGCTCTCTCTCTCTCCCTCCCTCTCCCTCTCTCACTCTCTCTCTCTTTCGCTCTTTGCGACATGCTGCATGGTGCTCTCTCTCCACGTTGCTGTGCATTGTTGTTGTTTCTGGCGCTGCTGCCGCAGGCGTTTTGTTTTAATTTCTATGTGTGGGTTTGTGTGTCAAAGCAATTGGGTGAGCATGTGTTTTGTTGTTGTTGTTGCTGTTGCTGTTGTTTTTCCAGCTAGTGCTCATATAGCTCCTTGCGGTTGTTATTGTTGGTGAAATCAAAACTTTAAGCCAAAAATGTTAGCTTATCTTAAATGCAAATCATTTTAAATTAAAGTTTGTCATTTTCACTTGCACTTGTATGATTATGTAATAATATTTTACATGATTACTTTTTTTAGGAAGTATATGAAATGTGTTATTATTTAGTTGGTTACAAAATATTTCATATTTTAAGTGTTCAAAGTGAATATTTAAAATATTCCTAACCCAATTATAGCCCCTTAAAAATATACTGTATCAAATGGTTAAATATCTTATATCCTTTAGAATGCAAAAAAGTTCGATTAGCAAGTATTTAATTTTATTTAAATTTAAAGTATTTAAATTTGTATTAATTTATTGAAAACCTGCTAGCCTAAAAATATTTCCGAAATACAAATTTTATTTTGTATTTTCAATTTGATGCTTGCAAATTGCTTATATAAACCGTAAGTATGTTCGTACTTTAAACTCGATTATTTTTTATATTTCCCAACGATTTTGAATGCCCATAAATTACTCGACATTTTACACATTTCAAGTGCCGTCATTAAAAGCACGAATATCTGCTTAAATTCCCATTATCCCCTTGCTCATTCAGACCTTCAATTTGTTTCGATGAAAGTAAGCAGACAGAGAAAAGTATGGCTCATCACTTTAATTAAATTAAAATTTCGGCTTAATGGCATTTAATTTTTCATTTTGCTCCAGCGAAACCCAATGATAAAAAGAAACGATTGATGTTGAAAAGAGGGAGCGGGCGGGGAGCATGCTTCAAATATCAATACAATAACAATAAAAACTAATAAATTTGTGGTCGCGGCCCAATGAAATAACTGTATTTAAAGGGGCGTTGACCAAACACCACCACAAAAGAGACAGCAGCTCTCTCCTTTGCTCTCTCGCTCTCGCATGCCTGCGCCCGGTTGTGTGCGTGTGTGTGTGCATGTGTGTGTATATGTTTGTGTGCCGCATATTAATCACAATTGCTGTTGCTGTTGTTGTTGTTGCCTTCGCTCCCTTTTTATTATGCGGCGTCTTTTTTATTACGCATACGCAACGTGGGTCTGAGCCACAAATTTTACGATTTGCTGCTGCTGTGAAAAGATAATGATGACTCCCAAAACGAAACGAGCACACGGAAATTCATCTCGACCCTTCAGCTTCCCCTTGTTAAGATGGAAATCATAATATAGTTTAATTTTCCTAGGATACCATGAGTTCTGAATATGAACCTACTGATGTGAAACTTCTCAATCAGCTTAGTTATGATTAAATGCCACTGCATCCCAAGTATTTCGGAAGTGCACAAATTGCTACTATGTGTAATGTTGTTCAAATAAATATGAAATTCGGCATGCCTTTAAATTGAAGTTACAAATTCTTCTACAGCAAATATTCCTGAATTGTCAGTATTGTTTGTTCGTTTGGGTTATAAATTTGAATGCAAGTATTTTGGAAGATTGGATAAATATTTTAAAATGCACAGCAATCGTATACGCCCCACTCGGGCCACACAGGGTATGCGGCTGGGACTTCTGGGCAACATGTAATGAAACGGAAGATACAATTATATTGAGGCGAGCAGGGCAACAACAAGGAGCCTGTCTCGTGCTGGCAGTCTCCTCCCTCCTCACCCACCTCACCCGCCTGGCACCTTCGCTCTGCCCCTCTGCGGCTCCTCTGGCCCTTGTGGCTACCGAAGATTTATGACAACGCTGAAGTCAACTAGACTGGAAGACCGTCTGCCCAGCCCAGTCCCTCCCCTTGCTTGCCGTTTCCCTCGCCGAACCAGGCTCCTTTGCAGGAACAATACCCTTGCGCCTCCTGGCTCCTCGAGTCCTTGTCCTTGCTCCTTCTGCTCTTGCTCCTGCTCTTGTTCTTGACTCTGGTTCTTGTCCTTGGGCCACAACGTCGCCGCATAATCAATTAGCAAAAAGTCGGCAGCAACAGCAAGGAAAGTTCCCACAATCCCAATCTACTCGACGCCCACACAGCGACACGCCCACTTTTTTGCACCACTAGGTCAAGTGAAGTTGGAAAATCGCAATGGTTTTTATGGGGCACATGTAAGGTTTTGATTCACACTAATGGAGCACAAACTTCGGGAACCCAAATTATATGTGCACCCAAATATAAACAAGCAGTATGATTTTAACCCATACCCATTAATTAGTCGCCACTAAAACGGAAGCAGTGTTCTGAATGTCGCCTGGATGTTTGTAAATCTCTCCAAATATTGTGCAAATTGAATTGCTAATCTATTTTGAGGAAGTGACTTTAGCTAGGAGTACTCAGCCATCTCAATGCGATAATCAATTGATTAGCCGCGACGAGCCCACCAAACAAGGCGTGGGATCAGCTGATCTGCAGATCAGCGATGTCAGGTAGGCCATGGAGGAGCAGCTAAGCTGGGCTTAAGCTGGAAAAGTTTTGACTTCGCCGCATCAAAGCTCCTCATCCGCGGGATTTCTCGCTGGATCGCCACTAATCCCGGATAGGCGGACGAGGGCGAAGTCAGGATTACCCCGTTTTGTTTTGCTACCTAGCCCCCGACTCGGTTACGCCTGAATTGTAATTATTGATTCTTGATCCTGATCGCAGTTCTTTGGCGGATTAATGCGGCAGCTCTTGGCTGGCTGCACTGAGAGAAACCAGACTGGCCTTCGCTCTTCAGCACTTGTACTTCTTTCGTACTAGAGATGATAGTCATTCCATGCATTATACCTTAGCAAGATGTTTCAAATCTGAATTTTATATATATTTACATATATGTATATATTTCCTCAAACTTTGCATACCTTGCATTACATAGGAAATAAATGTATCACTTAATAAATAGTTCATTTAATTGAAAAGAAAAATAATCAGGCCAAACCCCCTGTTACTTTCTCGCAGTGCAGCTATATTGCCATACCATCGGTTTTTGGTGGTCTCGGATTAAACCGCACCCTCTGACCAAAGGTCCTGTGGGTTGGGTTTTCGGTTTGGTCGGTGTGCGGTGGGCGGTGGGCGGTGGGCGAGTGGGTGGCTGGGTGGTTTCGACGCTGCCGCGGGGTGCCATAAATGCATAATCCACGTTTTACGATCGCTTAGCAGGAAAAGTCAAAGGGATCGTCTGCGGTAATCCGAAAGAGAGGCTAGATATATCCATATTGCCAGGTAGTGCGAGCGAAAAGTATTCAATTGAAATTGTTGGGTGCGCACGGCATGGGCCTCATAATCCTTTAGCGTAAACCTTAACCCGTTATGCAGATTTGTGTTAATTGGATTTATGGGGATTTTCGCATCTAAATCCTTTCACTGTCTGCAAATATTTTGGCCTCTAGCGTCTTCGGCCCGTTCTTCGTCGCAGATTAGATTAATCTCCGGGGTTTTTTCGCCAATTGACTTTGTATATCTCTTCTTGTATCTGAACCTCTACCTATCGCTAACTATCTTTGACTTCGGCACAATCGCTGACTTTGGCATAAGCTGAACTGGGTTTTCTATATATGAGTAGGATATCTAACCAAATAGATTGATTTTGAATTACGGAATTGCAATTCACATGTACTGAAAACATTTTTGGCATATGTATATCCTTTTGCTGGCATTATCCACTAGATGCAACAGATGGTGAAGGATTTCATCTGAGCAGATCCACGAAACGCCCCCATTTTCATTACCCTTCTCATCCACACATATCCAGCTATAACTTATAGTGCATGCACATCTCATATCGATTTCACCAACTGGATCGATCGGCTGTTTGACGACAGATTGCGCAATGCTCAGACCACATCGCAAGGTCGTGCCACGCCCCCTTTGACCTGTATGGGGCGCACTTGTAGCCATCTCTCGGCATCTCGGGCACCCTGCACTTCCACTGAATTCTCTAATCAAGCGGCAACGATGCAAAAAAACACACACAGTGGAACCAAGGGAAAAACAATGGCATCAAACTATAAATTTTAATTTCAATAATAAATATTACCCTCCATGTGTGTGTGTGTGTGTTCCTTTCTACTCACCGTGTTCTTTGTGTGTTCTTTTATGAAGCGTGTGTCGCAGAGGGGTTAGAACCGCGAACAAGATATTAGAGATCTCCTCGGAGACCGTTTTGCACTAAAAATGTCAACAGCCTCAATTTACAGCCCCTAAATAGGGGTAGGAAAGAGAGGGGGCGCAGAAAGAGTGCCGAAACAAGGGGATCCTAACACTTCCCGGGAAATCACTTGGCCGAACCGAAAAAAATCTCCAGATATTTGAACTCGAGGCACTTGTTGCAACACTCGAAAAAATACGCGGCGTATGCAGTGAACAACTAACAGTTGAAAACGAAAGAGTTTAAAGGAAGTTTAAATATTTATTAAACAGATTAGCATTCATTCATTAATGCTAAAGTTTAAATATTTATAAAACAGATAAAAACAATAATGCTTAACAATTAACAATTTTTTCAACTAAAAACGACAAAATTTTCTATGTTCAAAACTTGGTAATCAATTTGGAGCAACTGAAAGCATATCAATTTCAATTGTGTTCCGTATATGCGTCGTTTTTCTCGCGGTGCATGGCGAAGGGAGCGGGCCAAAGGGAACCGGAGGAGCAAAAAGAAAAGAGAACGCCGCAAAAATGGGGTGTCGAAATGATCATCAGTTGAGGGCGCCCCGCGGCGGGCCGCTCCTCTGATCTTCGCACCGCACGCCCTGCTGTGCTCCTTCCACGGTTCAAAAGTAACATCGAAAAGGACCTCGACTCCGAAACAGGACTCGCCTTGGCCACGGAAAAACAGTGGCAATCTTGGGTGAAGCCATGGCAAATGGACCATGAGCCATGGGCCATGGGAAAAATGAAGCGATGTTTGCGAAATTCAGGCGACAAAGGTGCCAGCACAAAGGACAACTAATTGGTTCGATTTCAAATTGAGAGTTCGCTGTTCTTTTGAGTCCTTAGAACCTGCCGCTGCTCCTTTGTCCCGAATGGTGGCATTTTGTTTCAGTCGGTGGCACAAACAGGTTCAAAGGGCAATCGACCTGTGCCCGTGATAACTACAAAATATTTATTTAATATGTAGTAAGCGCGGCGCAGAGTTGCTTACCGAATGGAAACTTCAACAAAACAATCAACAATTCAACAAAACTTCAAATAACAATCGGTAAAACAACATGTTGATCGCGTTTCAGATTTTCATCAAACAATTATTCGGTTTGTTTCACTGGAAAGAAAGGCGCATTACACTATTATTCCTCGCTTAAATCGGCATAGTACTCACAATAACTTCGCTCGAATCAGACAGGTTGTCCTCTACACTAATGAGTTTAATGCTTTCTGTTTGTCGGGACTTTCGCCGCTATGGGTTTTTTTTTGACAGAAACTGGCTTACTCGGCCCGCTGTTGCTCCTCTTTTTGACGGGCTCGGCGAAATAAACTATGCGATTGCGTAGGTTTTTGAAAATGACTGGTTTGACTTTGTTTTTACTTTTTCTCATGTCTGTTATATTTTTATTTATTTTTGGGTGTTACTTGGTTTAGATTTTTTACGTTTGTTACAACTGACTGCTGATCGAAAATATTTCCAAAGCGAACTTGTATTCAATATTTTGATTCTGGACTTATTCGTAAATTTATCAGATGTTGTGTGTTACGCTTTCACAGGCGAGAATTGAACTGAAGGTTTTGCTTGGATGAGAGAAATCTTTTGTGATTGAAATTATATGCAATGCCTATTTGTTATGAAAACATTGAAACCAAATTCCAAAGCCCACTATATTGTTTTTTATTGATATAACATAGCTTACTTTTAATTTTAAATTGTATTTCTCTGTGCAGTAGTAAATAGCAAATACACGCACCCAAATAGTAGCCTAGACACCCACCATTGCATTCTTGCGCATTGAGCACCATATAGCGGAAAATTACGGAACTAAAGCTACAACAGTTTCTCTTTTCTTTACCTAGGTGACGCTATTTCTATTGAACTGAGAGCTTACCGCTACACCGATAAAAATGCTGAGGATGATCTACAATATAAAAAATAAAATAAATATTATATGATTTCTGAAAAATATTGTCTCCTTAGGAAGAGTCGAATATCTCAGTTACTATACGTATTGTACTTTCTTAGCTAATAAGCTACCTTAATGGAGGGTGATTTTTATTAAATACATTAGCACTCCTATAAGCATAATTTTATCTTTTCTTAAATAAAGAAACCGAAAACTATGATTATTTTGTGAGCAAGCTATTTTACTTAATGCTTAAGACAACAAACATTTCTAAACACATAAAATCAACCCAATTAACCAATGGTTCACTTATTTTCCTTTAGCATTTTTTTCCTGGTAAAAAACAATGCGTATAAAATTACTTATATTGGAATACATATTTTAGTTGTGCAATTAGATAAAACTCTATTGGTAGTAGATGGAATAATGCAGTATTCAAAATTCTTCAATTCCTCTTTCTGCACTGAAATTATTGGACGTTCATATTCATATAAATATACGAGCTAAAGACAAATGACAATAGCTAGAAAAGATAGCTAGATAATGACTAATTACGCTCTTTAGCTACACAGTGCCAACATTGACATCACTGCGCCGCATACGAATGCTAGCGTGAAGAAGAGGAAGAGACGAGCGGTGCTGGGCTGAAAAAAAGACGAGAAAAGGGGGGAAAATTGGCGCAAATTGTACACGCGAGGCGCAGCAGTGACGTTGGATTGGAACTATCGGTTTGTGTGACTTATTTTGTGGCATATTTAATGCGGCCAATTGCCGATAAACCGAAGAAAATAGCATAATTAAATAACCAGAGCCAGCGCATCTAGTGTAAAAAGTCGGGCATGATTCCCAATCGCAAGAGAGAATCGGTATCACTCGTTGACCCGTCTCGTTCGAGTCTCGATCGCGTCATCTCACTCGCACCCACGTACCGACCGCCAGCCAGCCATATTGCCATCCCGTTCATTTCGGTGACAACGTGTCGGTGTGTGTGCATGAGTGTGCCAGAGTGCAAGCTTATGTGTGTGCGCTGTGTATGTGCAACAAACAACGGCGGCCGCTAACAAAAAAAATTGTAAATAAATACGCTGGCGCTCGGCAGCGCGCGAAAATCGAAAAAGTGCTCGAAAAGTTAACGGAAGAGCGCTTCCAAAAGAAAATTTAAAATTCCGGTAGCAAAAAGGGAGGGAAAATGAGAAGCAAGTGGGATATTTATTGAACAATTTGAAAATTAATTTGTTCTGTGCGTTGTTTGCATGGCCACCGGTTCGTCGGACAAGGACGACGATAGTGTTATCCTTCGGCGACTGATTTTTCGGCTTGCCCCTCTCTCTCTCACGTCCTCTTTGTCTCTCGCGGCAAGAGCGAGCGGAAAACACGCTCCCACTAGATATGCGCAATAGCCAATGACTTGATTACTTGCGTGATCCTCTGTAGATCTCGTCTTTGAACAACTTTAGACTACATTTTTACAATGGACAAAAGTTTTAAAAATTAATGCCCACAAATACTTATTTTTAAAAAAATTAAGAAGTCGGCTTCTTAATTTATATTATAAATCTTATTCGAATACACCTTGATGTCATTAAATTCAAACAGAACCGAATGTTATTTACCATTTTAATTTCCAAAACGCTGAAAAGAACATTAATTTCATAACTTTGCTGTCCAACCAAAGCATTTTTTAGAAAACTTCTTTGTGCGCCTTTTAAGTGCGCGCTGAGAAATTCAGTGAAAAAGTATCGGCGAATATGTCACCATCATCATGTGGTCATCTCTGGACTCGCTGCTTTGTTATCTGGCGCGCCATATGTATGCGCGTGTGTGTGTATCGGCTCTCAGAGAGCGCGTGGCGTGAGCGGACTCGCCGACGCAGAGAGCGAGAGGCTAGAGCGAAACAGGGCTCGTACAGCGGCTAACAGCTGTTACGACGCCAACAGACTGCTAGCAGAGGCATTTATATGAATTTCGGGCCGTAACAGTGTGACAACAGCGGCCCAACAGCACGTGAGAGCGACGAGAGCCCACTCGCATGTTGTGTCAAACAGTCAATTTTAGTGTATTTCCGAGCTCGGTGGTGTATTTGAACGGCTAGCCGCGGTCACACTGAAGCAAAAACATTTTTGGCTCGGAGAACGATTAACACAAGCGGACTGAAATTTTTTTGTTTTAGTGTTGCGAAAAAGTTTGTGGGATTTTTCTAAAATCGCCGGAAAATGTGAAAAATATATGGTATAAAACCGAAATTCGGCAAAATTACAAAGAATATTTAGAAATTTAGTGCGTGGCAATCGGTGATAGTGAAAAAATAAAAAAACCGGCCAAAATCTGGCCGGAAATTTTTTCAAATTTTCTACGGCATTTTCTTGAATTTCGTATTTTTGCCAATTATTTTTACGATTTTTGTGCGGGCCGGGAAAAATAAAAAACGCTCTAGCGGAGACAACACAAAAAATTTCTGCAATAGAAACTTTGAAACGACGTGAAGAAGAAAACGAAACGAAAACGACGAGCGAACACAGAAAAAAAATGGAATATATTTCTGTCGTCTGTTTTTCTTTCTTTTTCCAATGCTCCTCGCACTCGTTGCCGCTTACCGTCGTGTGTATATTGCACACTAATGCCGCTCGGCACTAATATCATCGCACGCTTTCTCTCTCGGACTCGTGCTCGCTCTTGCACGAACTCGCTGTTTTCGATATATGTGTGTGTGTTTGTGTAACTGTGTAGTGAAAACGTTGGCGTCGCTGTGAGAATTCTGTACGCGCGCCCCAAACCCCAAATGTGTGTGCGTGCGTGCGTGTGTGAAAGCTTTTGTCAGCCAGCCCCACTGCACTCTAGTGTCATCCCGCTCGCACCCCACTCGCCACTCGCCGCCCCAACAAATTAAATTTCGTATGATGGCCGCTCGAATGCGGAAGCAAAACCAAAATACGGCCACTTTTTCGGCCATTTAATTTATAAATTGGACTGTAGACCACAGCCGTAACTGGCTGATACTTTAATACATTTTTTGTAGTAGTTTTCTGCCTTTTGTACCTTCCAAGGTGTGATTTCTTTTTTTCAAAAAATTTATTTGTCCTAAAAATTTGAAGCATTTTTCAAAGTATACTTTTGCCAACGACGGCACTTGTTTTCCATATTTTTTCGGTGGTCTGGCGGCAAAATGAAACTTATTATTTCCATTTTCGTGGTGTGCGCCAAAAGAGCGAGAGGACAACACACACGTCCACACGTCTGCGAGCAAAGTAGCGAGTACAGCGCTGGTAGTATTGGCGAATTAAATCGCGAGACAAGAACAGAGAAGAGAGAGAGAGCGAGTGGTCGTCAAGCGGCGCACAGATGAGTGCAACAAGACCGAGAGAATTCTCGATTCCCGTTCTCGTTGTTCTCTTCCCCTTTTCGTCCCCGTTTTCGGCACGTCTCGTCGCATTTTAGTATCGTTTCGTTTCCCTTTTCCCCTCGCGCGCGGCTAAAATACAAAAAAAAAAAAGAAAGAAGAAAATAAATAAATATTGCTTTCGATTTGCGTGCGGTGTGTGTTCGTTCATTCAACATAATCTAATAGGCTGCGTATTTTCCTCTTGTGCGTTTACAGTTAATGTGCAATGTTAGAGCGGCAAATGTCGGCAGAAGCAGCAGCAGCAACAACATCAACATCAGCATCGACAAAAACATCAGCAGCAGCAGCCGAATCAGAAGCGCCAGCAACAAAAACAAACCGAAACACAACAAACCCAACAACAACAGCCAACAATGTGAATTGCTTTTTTTTTCCTTATTAATTGTAAACGAAAACCGAATCAAGTGCAGTAAAAATTAAACACACGCATATATAATATATGGTCAAAATATTTATATATCTATGTGTAGCAAAAAGCCGCCAAAAACAAATCACGTAAAAGATGTAAGATAGCGGAAAAAAAGGCGGAAAGAAAAGGAAGAGAAAGAGAAGAGAGCCAAACCAACAACCGTTCTTTTTCGCTCAGTGGAGGCAGGCAGGCAACAACAAACAAACAAACAAACAATAACAAGAGCCGCCCAGCCAAGGTCAACTTTTGGTGTTTTTGGGGCCCAACAACACAAAATGCACGCGTGTGTCTGCTGCTGTTCGACAAACAACAATTGCAACAACAAGAACAACGACGGCAGCAGCAGCAGCAGCAGTAACCACAACAACAACGACAGCAGCAGCAGCAGCAGCAGCAGCAGCATCATCAGCAGCAGCAGCAACAACAACAAATTGCAGCTAAGAAAGCGCAGGGCAGAAGTCGTCGTCGAAGAAGAGGAAGAGGTACTGGTCAAGTGGGCGCAGGATAAGAACAAGCATCAAGAGGAGCAGGAGGAGCACCAGGCGGTGGAGGAGTTGTCTGCTGGCCAACGCGCCAGTGGCGGCGACAACGACAACGATCTCAACGGCGCCGCAACGAGAAGGCGGTGGTGGCTGCGCGATCCTCCAGGATCAGCGGAAGCGGCAGAAGGAGAAGGAAAAGGCGAAGGAGTGGGAGTGGCAGTGGAAGTGGGAGCAGCCGAAGCAGCCGAAGCAGCCGGAGCAGCGGGCACAGGACCGACGACGTGGTGGTGGCCAGCTCTATCCGTTGACGTTGCGGTGACGATAGCGCCGGCTACGTTGTTGCTGTCGTTGCAGCGGCAATTAGCAAAGGAATTATCTAAAACAACAACTACAACTACAACAAGGACAACAACAACAACAACAATAACAAAAATAATAACAAAAACAACAGAAGCAACATCATTAGCAATAAAAAGCGAAGCAGAAGCGATAATATCACTATTAAAAGCCAGCATCGCCACCATCATTGATTTTCACCAGATCCCAAAACACCAACAATACCAAAACCAAATCCCAATCCTCGCCAGCCACGCCTTTTGAGTGCCTCTTTGTGTGTTGTGTATTGTGCGTGCGTGCGTGTGTTGCAAAGTGTCAAAACTAATCAAGGAATCTACAACGTATAACACTAAACACTTAACCAAACCAAACAACTGTCAAAAGTGACAGACGGAAAAAGAGTTGAAGAAGAAGAAACAGCACAGGCTTTGTGACAAGTTCCAAAAGCGAAAAATCAGAACACAATCGAACTTCGACATTGTCGGTTTATTAGAGAGTTAACAAAAAAAACAGAAAAAAAACACAGAAAGGCGAATCAAAAGTTCAAAAACTAACAGAAACTATTGAACTCGTTAGAAACCCAGAGGAATTCCTCAGATTTCCCGAACGTTTTTTCGTCATCGTGTTTGTTTTTTTTTTTTTTTTATTCTTGGATTCGCGTGCGTCAGCAACGGAAGAATCCAACTAACTCTATATGATGGCCGATCACTTAGACGAACCGCCCCAAAAGCGGGTTAAAATGGATCCAAGTGAGTACCGAAGCCAGAAGATTACATTTTTATCACTTCAATTTTTTTTGTCTGAATGAAAATTCCAGTATTAATTGACATTTCAGAAGCCGGCATTTTGATCTTTTTCTATGAGGATTTTTTTTAAGTCTTAAATGATTTTAAGGATAAGCCTCACAGACAATAACTTGTAAAGAATGAATTTCGCCAGTCATTTTTCAATATGAATTCGATAAAGATTGAGTCTATCCTAAGATTTTTTCTGTAAGGATCATTTACGAAAAACCCTTGCTTAAAACCATTTCGAATTTTCTTCCTTTAGCGGACATCTCCTACTTTCTGGAGGAGAACCTGCCCGATGAGTTGGTGTCCTCGAGCAGCGGCTGGTCGGATCAGCTGACCGGCGGAGCAGGCGGTGGCAATGGAGGTGGCGGCGCCTCCGGTGTAACCACAAACTCCACATCCGGCCCAAATCCCGGTGGTGGACCCAATAAACCGGCAGCCCAAGGACCCGGTCCCGGCTCTGGCACTGGCGGAGTCGGTGTTGGAGTCAATGTGACCGTCGGCGGTGTTGTCGGCGTTGTGCCTTCCCAGATGAACGGAGCCGGCGGCGGCAACGGATCCGGTACGGGTGGTGACGACGGCAGTGGCAACGGCTCCGGAGCGGGCAACAGGATCAGTCAAATGCAGCATCACCAGCAGCTACAGCACCTACTCCAGCAGCAGCAACAGGGCCAGAAAGGTGCCATGGTGGTGCCTGGCATGCAGCAGCTGGGCAGCAAGTCGCCCAACCTACAGTCCCCCAACCAGGGTGGCATGCAGCAGGTGGTGGGCACTCAGATGGGTATGGTCAACTCAATGCCCATGTCGATATCGAATAATGGCAACAATGGCATGAACGCCATACCAGGTGAGTAATCATACTTGTACCCCATGTACTTGGTTATCCAAGCTGCAAGGAGTTGTATATAGCGACAGTCATTTGAAAACACCATCTTGTTGCATCTTCCGCAGGCATGAACACCATTGCGCAGGGCAATCTGGGAAACATGGTGCTGACCAACAGCGTTGGCGGCGGCATGGGCGGCATGGTCAATCATCTCAAGCAGCAGCCTGGCGGCGGCGGCGGTGGCATGATCAATGCCGTTTCGGTACCAGGAGGACCTGGATCAGGAGCTGGAGGCGTTGGAGCTGGCGGCGGAGGAGCCGTTACCCCGAACCAGGGCATGCATATGCAGAACGGCCCGATGATGGGACGCATGGTGGGGCAACAGCATATGCTTCGTGGCCCCCATCTCATGGGCGCCGCTGGAGGAGCTGGTGGGCCTGGAAATGGACCTGGTGGCGGCGGACCACGCATGCAGAATCCCAACATGCAAATGAGTGAGTTTCTAGTTTCCATCTAGTCCAGATCTAGTGGATTCCCAGCATGGAATTGAATCGATGGCTAATGTAAGGTTTTCGTCCGTTTGCAGCTCAACTCAACAGTCTGCCCTACGGAGTGGGTCAGTATGGTGGACCAGGCGGTGGCAACAACCCCCAGCAACAGCAGCAGCAGCAGCAACAACTCCTCGCCCAGCAGATGGCCCAAAGAGGCGGCGTCGTACCGGGCATGCCGCAGGGCAATCGACCCGTCGGCACAGTGGTGCCCATGTCCACACTCGGCGGCGATGGTTCAGTGCCCGCGGGGCAGCTGGTCAGCGGGAATCCTCAGCAGCAACAGATGCTAGCGCAACAGCAGACCGGAGCCATGGGCCCACGTCCTCCGCAACCCAACCAGCTGCTCGGTCACCCCGGACAGCAGCAGCAACAGCAGCCCGGCACCTCGCAGCAGCAGCAACAGGGCGTTGGACTCGGAGGAGCAGGCGTTGTGGCCAATGCAGGAACCGTTGCTGGCGTGCCGACAGTGGCAGGCGGCGGAGCCGGTGGCGCCGTACAAGCCAGCGGCCCTGGTGGCGCCAATCGCGATGTGCCCGACGACCGTAAGCGACAGATCCAGCAGCAACTGATGCTCCTCCTCCATGCACACAAGTGTAATCGCAGGGAGAACCTGAATCCGAACAGGGAGGTGTGCAACGTCAACTACTGCAAGGCGATGAAATCAGTGCTGGCCCACATGGGCACGTGCAAACAGAGCAAGGACTGCACCATGCAGCATTGTGCCTCCTCGCGGCAAATCCTCTTGCATTACAAGACGTGCACGAACAGTGGCTGCGTAATTTGCTATCCCTTCCGGCAGAATCATTCGGTTTTTCAAAATGCGAATGTGCCGCCAGGAGGCGGGCCGGCTGGAATTGGAGGTGCGCCTCCAGGTGGCGGCGGAGCGGCTGGTGGAGCGGCTGGAGCTGGCGGTAATCTTCAGCAGCAACAGCAGCAGCAGCAACAACAGCAGCAGAACCAGCAGCCCAACCTGACGGGTCTGGTGGTGGACGGCAATCAAGGACAGCAGGTTGCACCTGGAGGTGGCCAAAACACTGCCATAGTTCTGCCCCAGCAGCAGGGAGCGGGCGGTGCACCGGGTGCGCCGAAAACGCCTGCGGACATGGTGCAACAATTGACCCAACAGCAGCAGCAGCAACAGCAGGTGCACCAGCAGCAGGTTCAACAGCAGGAACTCCGTCGATTCGATGGCATGGGCCAAGTTGGACTCTCGCCGGTGCCAGCTGGCGGTATGCAGCAGCAGGGATTGCCTCCTGTGATTCGCATGCAAGGCGCTCAGCCGGCCGTCAGGGTTCTGAGACCAGGTAGACCTGGCGGCCAAACTGGACCCAATGTTCTGCCGAACGATGTTAACAGCCTGCATCAACAACAGCAACAGATGCTCCAGCAGCAGCAGCAGGGCCAGAATCGACGACTCGGTGGCCTGGCAACCATGGTAGAGCAACAACAACAGCAGCAGCAGCAACAGCAACAACCCAATCCCGCCCAGCTGGGTGGCAACATTCCAGCACCACTCTCTGTTAACGTCGGTGGCTTTGGCAATACCAATTTCGGTGGTACAGCAGCCGGCGGAGCCGTGGGAGCCAACGACAAGCAGCAGCTGAAGGTGGCCCAAGTGCATCCGCAGAGCCATGGCGTCGGAGCGGGCGGAGCAGCAGCGGGCGCCGGTGCGAGTGGTGGCCAAGTGGCAGCTGGTTCCAGTGTCCTAATGCCAGCCGATACCACGGGCAGTGGTAATGCAGGCAATCCCAACCAGAATGCTGGCGGTGGAGCAGGAGGTGCCGGTGGTGGCAATAGCGGAAACTCCGGTCCTTCGGGCGACAACGAGAAAGACTGGCGGGAATCGGTGACCGCCGATCTGCGCAACCATCTCGTCCACAAACTGGTGCAGGCCATCTTCCCCACCTCGGATCCCACGACCATGCAGGACAAACGGATGCATAATCTCGTGTCCTACGCGGAAAAGGTCGAGAAGGACATGTACGAAATGGCCAAGTCCAGATCGGAGTACTATCACCTGCTGGCCGAAAAGATCTACAAAATCCAAAAGGAGCTGGAGGAGAAGCGGCTGAAACGTAAGGAGCAGCACCAGCAGATGCTGATGCAGCAGCAAGGCGTTGCGAATCCAGCGGCTGGAGGAGCGGCCGGCGGAGCAGGCAGTGCAGCTGGTGGAGCGGGCGGTGTAGTCTTGCCCCAGCAGCAGCAGCAGCAACAACAACAGCAGCAGCAGCAGGGTCAGCAGCCCCTGCAGAGCTGTATCCATCCCAGCATCAGTCCAATGGGCGGTGTGATGCCTCCGCAGCAGCTGCGTCCGCAGGGACCACCTGGAATACTGGGTCAGCAGGCGGCAGCAGTCCTGGGCGTCGGCGTGGGAGTCACCAACAACATGGTGACCATGCGCAGTCATTCGCCCGGTGGCAACATGCTCGCCTTGCAGCAACAACAGCGCATGCAGTTCCCGCAACAACAGCAACAACAACCGCCCGGATCCGGAGCCGGCAAAATGCTGGTCGGCCCACCAGGACCCAGTCCCGGTGGCATGGTAGTCAATCCCGCGCTTTCGCCTTATCAAACGACCAATGTGCTCACCAGTCCGGTGCCCGGGCAGCAGCAACAGCAGCAGTTCATCAATGCGAACGGCGGCACTGGCGCCAATCCTCAGCTGAGCGAGATCATGAAGCAGCGACACATTCACCAGCAGCAGCAACAGCAGGTGCAGCAGCAACAACAGCAGCAGCAGCAGCAGGGAATGCTGTTGCCGCAGTCGCCATTCAGCAATGCCACACCTCTACAACAACAGCAGCAGCAGCAGCAGGCGACTAGCAACAGCTTTAGCTCACCAATGCAGCAGCAGCAGCAGCAGCAGCAACAGCAACAGCAGCAGCAGCAAGGCCAGCAACAGCAACAACAGAAGCCCGGCAGTGTGCTGAACAATATGCCGCCCACGCCGACGAGTCTGGAAGCTCTAAATGCGGGGTCTGGAGCGCCGGGAACGGGAGGATCCGCCTCCAATGTGACGGTTTCAGCTCCGAGCCCATCGCCTGGCTTCCTGTCCAACGGCCCGTCGATTGGCACGCCCTCCAACAATAATAATAGTAGT